TCGAAGTCTGTTCGCAAGTAATGCGTGTTGTAGTCGAAGTTTGTTCTAACATGCATGAGTAAATATTGCTAAGGTTGTTAGCATGAGTAAATATTGCTAAGGTTGTTAGCATGAGTAAATATTGCTAGGGTTGTTAGCATGTGCTATTTTATTATAAATAGGATGCTAGTTTCTCAATCTTGGCATAAGGAAAAATAGGAAGATAAAATCCTAATTTCAAGGGAGAGAGGTTATTTTGTTATTCTTGTATACTTGTAATCTTGTTCTAAGAGAAAGGAAAGAATAACAGTTTAATAACCAATCCTTGTTGTTCCTTGTTGTTTTACCTTGTCTTCTTTATTAACCCTAACCCTTGTGAGTTTCTTGATCATTAAGAAACTGTTTATACTTTGTTTAAAGGTATCCGATTCACAATAAATTGGTGCGGTGAGCGTGGAGAAGATGCCTTCAACAAAGTATGAGATTGAAAAGTTCACCGGAGTGAACGACTTTGGTCTGTGGCGCTTGAAGATGAAAGCCCTATTGGTTCAGCAGGGTTGTTTGGAAGCGTTGAAGGGTGAGGCAGCCATGGACGTTGCGTTAACGGCAAAAGAAAAGACGGGCATGATCGAGAAAGCCCACAGCGCAATATTATTGAGCCTTGGTGATAAGGTTCTTCGACAGGTATCAAAGGAGACTACAGCATCGGGATTATGGGTGAAACTTGAAAGTTTGTACATGACCAAATCTCTGGTGAATCGACTATACCTGAAGCAAGCTTTATATTCATTCAAGATGAGTGAAGACAAAGTGTTGGCTGAGCAGTTGGATATGTTCAACAAGCTGATTCTTGATCTTGAAAATATTGATGTGAAGATCGATGATGAAGATCAAGCACTATTGCTGCTGTGTGCTTTGCCCAGAACACATGCTCACTTCAAAGAAACTCTCTTGTATGGAAGGGAGTCCCTGACCTTTGAAGAAGTTCAATCAGCCTTGTATTCTAAGGACTTGAACGAATGAAAGGAGCATAAACCTTCGACGGTGGGCGAAGGTTTGGCCGTTAAGGGAAAATTCTTGCGAAAGGATGGTAAGTTCGACAAGAAAAAAGGTAAAAGTCAACAAAAGTCTTATAGTGGCGAAACATCTAGTATTCGATGTTACCACTGTAAGAAGGAGGGTCACATAAGAAATTTGTGCCCTGAACGCCTGAAAGATCATGGAGGTAATGGCAATGCAACCATTGTTCAAGATGACTTCGACTCATCTGATGTTCTTGTGGTTTCAAGTGGCGACTCGAGGAAAGAGTGGATTATGGATTCAGGTTGCACTTGGCACATGACTCCAAACAGAGAATTATTCGAGGAGCTATGTGATCAAGATGGTGGATCTGTGCTGTTAGGAAACAACAAATCTTGCAAAATTGCAGGTATTGGATCTGTGAGATTCAAGCTCCATGATGAGTCAATAAGGTTATTGACTGAAGTCAGGTACGTACCTGACTTGAAGAGAAATTTGATTTCTCTTGGTGAATTCGACAGAAAAGGATATGTTTTTCAAGGATAGAAAAGTATCCTAAGAGTCATGAAGGGGTCGAAGGAAGTCTTGAGAGGCGTGAACAAGGCTTGTATACCCTTGAGGCTGAGGTTGTAAGTGGTTCGACAAATGTTGCATCCACGAAATCTATGTCGAAGACAGAATTATGGCACATGAGATTGGGCCATGTCAGCGAAAGAGGCCTGGTCGAATTGGGGAAGCAGAACCTGCTAGGAGGTGACAAAGTCGAAAAGTTGGAATTTTGTGAATCTTGTGTATTTGGTAAATCCTGTAGGGCGAAGTTTAACAAAGGCAAGCAAAGAACACATGGATCCCTGGATTACATTCATGCTGATCTTTGGGGGCCTGCAAGGAATCCTTCACACTCAGGTGCAAGGTACTTTCTATCCATCGTTGATGACTATTCCAGAAAGCTATGGGTATTCATTCAGAAGACGAAGGATGAAACTTTTGAGAATTTCAAAAGTTGGAAGATTCTGGTCGAAACTCAAACTGGCAGAAAGGTTAAGAGGTTGAAAACCGACAATGGCCTTGAATTCTGCAATAAAGCGTTCAACAGTTACTGTGTTGAGTCTGGGATTGCAAGGCATAAGACTGTAGCAGGTACTCCTCAACAAAATGGCTTAGCTGAAAGATTCAATCGAACAATCCTTGAAAGGGTTAGATGCATGTTGGTTAGTGCTGGATTGAAGAAGGTGTTTTGGGCGGAAGCTGTTTCGACAGCAGCTTACTTGATAAATAGATGTCCCTCGACTGCCTTGGGAATGAAGACACCTGAAGAAGTTTGGTCGGGACATCCACCTAGTCTCGACAGACTGAGAGTATTTGGCTGTGTGGCCTATGCTCATATTAGGCAAGACAAGGTCGAACCTAGAGCTCTGAAATGCATGTTCATGGGATACCCTGAAGGAGTCAAAGCTTATAGGCTATGGTGCCTAGAGCCAGGTCACAGAAAGTATAAACAGTTTCTTAATGATCAAGAAACTCACAAGGGTTAGGGTTAATAAAGAAGACAAGGTAAAACAACAAGGAACAACAAGGATTGGTTATTAAACTGTTATTCTTTCCTTTCTCTTAGAACAAGATTACAAGTATACAAGAATAACAAAATAACCTCTCTCCCTTGAAATTAGGACTTTATCTTCCTATTTTTCCTTATGCCAAGATTGAGAAACTAGCATCCTATTTATAATAAAATAGCACATGCTAACAACCCTAGCAATATTTACTCATGCTAACAACCTTAGCAATATTTACTCATGCTAACAACCTTAGCAATATTTACTCATGCTAACAACCTTAGCAATATTTACTCATGCATGTTAGAACAAACTTCGACTACAACACGCATTACTTGCGAACAGACTTCGACCACACTAGAGTTCGATCCAATGTCTCACAAATCTCCACCTTGGATCTAACTCTATAACATCAAGAAACTAGCTTTCTTCATGCAGATTTATCAATTGCATACAGTGGAAAAACTTGTAATTGGGCAATGTCTTGGTGATCATATCAGCAGCATTATGATCTGTCGAAACTTTCAGCACTTGGACTTCTCCACGCTCGATTACCCCTCTGATGAAATGCAGCCTCACATCAATGTGCTTGGTTCGCTCATGATAGGCTGAATTCTTCGACAGATGTATTGCACTTTGACTATCACATTTAACAGTGATAACTCGACCTTGAAGTTTTAGCTCCTTTGCAAAACCTTCAAGCCACACTGCTTCCTTCACAGCTTCAGTTAGAGCAATATACTCCGCTTCAGTGGTTGATAAGGCAACGACCTTCTGAAGTGTTGCTTTCCAACTTATTGTTGTCCCAAACATAGTGAACACATATCCGGAGATAGATTTTCTAGAATCCATACAACCTGCATAATCAGAGTCGACATATCCTTCGATTACTGCTTTACTATCTTCACCCAAGGCTCCACCATAAATTAGGACTCTATTCAGAGACCCATTTATGTACCTTAAAATCCACTTCAATGCTTGCCAGTGAGCCTTTCCAGGATTCGCCATGTACCTGCTTACGAGACTTACTGCATATGCTATGTCGGGTCTAGTACAGACCATAGCATACATCAAAGACCAATTTGTCTTCTTTTGATTCCTCATAACTTCCTTATAGTCTCTAGGTTCTTCGTCTAGAACCTCACTTGCAGAGATTAAGGCATAAGCTATAAGATCTGCATACCCAAGTCTCTGAGGTGGCTTGATGACTCTCCTCGACCTGTCTCTTGCTAGCAGGTAGTCATTATCAGTCTCCTCATCTTCGACAACATCTTCTGTGTCTTCTTCGACTTCATCTGGGGTAAGCAATTCAGCATCAACATGCTCCACCTCAACAGGAATCTCTCCCTGTTCCAGCTCTTCGTCAGCATAATCAGTTTTCTTGAAAGCCATCACTGCTTCATTGAAAACTACATCTCGACTGGTGATACACCTTCTGTGACCTGGCTCTAGGCACCATAGCCTATAAGCTTTGACTCCTTCAGGGTATCCCATGAACATGCATTTCAGAGCTCTAGGTTCGACCTTGTCTTGCCTAATATGAGCATAGGCCACACAGCCAAATACTCTCAGTCTGTCGAGACTAGGTGGATGTCCCGACCAAACTTCTTCAAGTATCTTCAGGTGTCGACCTTGTTTAAAGATATCCGATTCACAACATTTATAATACTGAGCTGATTATGGTAAGTGAGTTCTTATTTGCAACCAATTTTTCTCTAATGCACTCCTTCTTGCAAACACATTGTTTTATCAACTTTTTAAAAAGTGTATTTTGTATGGCATCTATATTTGTCTAGAAAATAATTCTTGGTTTTTTCTATGCATTCCTCATTTAATTTCATATTATATAATCTAAAACGCACAAATATATCATCTACTTTAGGGTACAATTCCATATTGTTTTTTTAAAGTACTCAATTTTAGGGTAGTTTAGCAAATTGTAGCCTTGTAGGCTATAATTCTAGAAACTTGCCAAATGGCCATAAAATGGTTACAACAGAAAATGATTTTAAATTTGGAGTGTAATAGGTGGAAGATTAAAAAAATAGCAAAATAACAAATAAGAAGAAGAAAAAAAAAAGTAACATATTTCTGAGTCACCATTAACAAAATGACCTTTTTTTTAGAACTTAGATTTTACAAGATATAACTATTTTATTTCTCCAATTAGAAATAAATGGTTAAACTATTTACAAAAAATAAATAAATGAATGGTTAAGCTATGTTTAAGGATTAGCCATTGATTCAAAACTCCAAACATGGAAACATGTTTGTTATGATTAGCTTCATTTTCAAAACTTCTTTGCCATTCTCATCATGTTTTGTCGAACTTCCGGTCCTGTGAAGGAATAATTTATATAAACAAATTCCCTTTCCCACTTCAACACCACCAAGCTAAGGGAAAAGGGAGGGCTTGGTTTGGTTACTTGGAATACAAGAAACAAAATGAGTCTCAATTGTCTTTCCTGCAGCCAAATTTTGCAAAGGACAGACTCATTTCAAGAGGTATTCCAAGAAGAAGAGTATAGGGAAAGGAACAAAAAGGTCGCAAGAACATGGTCGGGAAATATATCACAGGATAAAGAAATGACCAAAGGCGGACCTCTGGCGAAGATTAAGGCCAATCATCGCCGCAATCATAGTACAGGAAATATTCCTTTTTCGAGCAATGGACCGAAGTTGGTGAGGAGTAGTGGAATGAGAAGAGATTGGAGTTTTGAGAATTTGGCTGAGATACAACAAGACCAAAGTGTGACTTGCCATTAAGAAAGATAAGATGATATCATTGAATATGACTGTCACATTGGTTTTTCTGAATTGTGTGTATACTTTGTTTGTGGTGGGAATTATTGTAAAGATTGGGGAAGGGATGGTGGGTTAGAGTGGATGTAGATTATAAACATGGCGTTTTAAGCGCTTGGTAGATGCCATGGCACTTTTTTTGTGCCACTTATATAATTTACATCCCTTGCAACTTTTTCTTTTTCCCTTCAGATTCTTTGTAATTCATGGTTCAGCTCATAAATTTAATTTATTATATATCCTTTTCTTGTGTACATTGTGATATCATATGTGAAATTTCAGGTGCATGTGAAGGACTTGTTTCTGCAATTTGTGCATGAAAGTCTCTCATTCCATGTAGCAGCATTGTAGGAATGTTTATAACTAAACAAATATTAGTGCTGCTACATGGTACGAGAGACTTCGATCACGAGTTGCATGATATAAGTCTGACCACCATATTTAGGATAACTCAACAAATAGTTAAGTGAAAAATGAGACAGATACACATTTTTTTTCTCTCTCTCTGCTCATAACTTCAAAGCCAGACAAATGACGTAACAGGTTCCGGCATTCTTTACACTTTATGAAATTTATTATACAACAGAAAATCCAGTAGTAACAAAACTCTTTAAAAGTGCTCATAACTTTAAAGACATGAAAGAATTCACTAGTTTTTCTTTCTTCTAGCTTCTGCTTTCCAATCTCTACGACAAAGCACAGTCCTAGGTGTTTCATTATAAACAATGCTAGAAGCTCCGGACTGAATTTCCCTATCTAGCACTGTTTCTGACTTGATCCCAGCGCCTAAGTATGTCTCCTCGGGTACATTAGCCGGTGTCATGGAATGATCAATAGACCCGTGCATCTCTCGAAGCTTTGTAAGATGAGCCTGCCGTGCATCCTTTTTCCAATCTCGATTACAATATATGCGTGTCACAAAATTGTTGCGATTCCTGTTTGGTTGTAGCTCTACTTGCATTGCAGTTGTCTGTTCTACACCGAATGAATCACTGGTTCCAGATTCTAGACGCTTACGAGCCCTGTACCTACGCTGTCTCTCTCGATTCTTGAGACGTCGAGTCACTAAGTCACCACACCCTTTAGTAGAGTGTTCTCTTTGATCATCGGACTTCATCATAGAATTGTCTTGTGTATCAGAAGCACTTTGATTGTTTTCCATTTTCAGAGCAGGGATAGCATCTGCAGAAATCATGTTAGGTAAGGATAACTTGATTATTACATTCAAGAAATAAAAAGAAAACAACTCTGTTATTCTTCATTTGATAGCTTGGTCCTCATTAGAACTTCAGATGTAATTATGGCAAATTTGAAATACTAACAAAAGCGTATTATAAGCAAGATTACACAAGGTCAAACTCAACCTCAAAACTAGCTCAAAGAGACGACATTTACCAAGTGATTATCAACTATGCGCAATGTCCAAGATTTGCTTCAAACATTGCACCGATGCAATATATGTCAAACAGTCTTCACCAATTATTCAATCAAAAAAGTATTCTTTAGACATTTAACTATGGTCTGGCATGCAAATGAGTGAATGACCTATAGTCTAAAACAAAAACCTATGAAGCATGGATCGAGACAATGACACCAGACACAACAACATATCAACACCTGTAATGATTTGAAAAAATGAATAAATTGAACGTAATCGTAATCACAAGTGTTGGTATCATGTCCGTGCCGGTGTTTGGCACTGACACGGACGCGGATACGCATTTTTTTAGAGTTGTTGGTGCTACAGAGGAAATTAAACTTTCCAGTTGGTTACAAATTACCTCTAGAATAGTAAACTTCAAATGTATAAAAAAAGTCAAAGCTTGAACAAATATGCTCTTAGGGGGCATCAAGTGATTATGTGAGAGGATAAACTTGACCATACAAAGATATGCCTTCAAATAACATGCTCATACATTTATCTATTTATCTACGTAATTGTGCGTAATGTCTCAGTATCCCACATCTTAGACATTCCTGGTGTTGGTTGCCTGTGTTGCATCTCATGTTCGTGTTAACATGCTAACGAAGTTTATCCTAGACGTGTTCCTGGGCCACCTACATTTACATGTACAAACTACATAAGTCCAATCCTAGGCATGAGGATGTGAGTTATGATCCTATAATGACTATATGTATATCAAAAGTAGTCACACTATCACAATATCAAAAGTGTGTCAGGAAATTCTCAATCTACCAAGCATTTTGAAACTTGTGGTACAATATTCTTAAAATGAAATGCTATTAGACCATGGACACACTATCACAATTCTCATAACAGCAGAGTGCAAAGAAATGAAAGAAGCAGCAAAATATCAAATCTCATTAAAGTGACGTAAATTTCTTGTCTAGTAAATTGTTGAGCAAGAATAAAACACTCATTAACCAATACTTAAAACAGCTCCACCAACGATATTTGTGTTCTGATATAGGTTCCATCTCCATAGACATTATTATTCAATAGCTCAAACAACAGTCCTAAACTTTATATGCACTTGTTAGGAGCAATATATGACAAGAGGTAGTAAAAATGACACTAATCCAACAATCAACCACACATAAAGTAGACCAATTTCTAAAACATTTCACATTAAAGGCGTGTTCGTGTTTGCATACAATTATTCAATTTTCTTAAATTATTACCGGAGTCGAAGTGTATCCGTTAGTATCAACTGTCCCATAGGTTAGTGGTAGCTCTATAAAATCAAAACAAAATGCATAGCATACATTTGAATAACCAATCAACAACCACAAAAACCCTGATCATAAAACTCAGTATCCAATTCAAAACGAGTAAAAACGCAAGCAAGAAAAGTGGAACTTAAGTGATGAGAAAAAGGGTCACTACTAGGGTTATAAAACAAAAGCAATAGAATAGAAAATTAAACATGAAAGGGAGTAAATGGAATTGAAATGCAGAAGAAGAGGTGTTGTTGAGTTAACCTTGGAGTTGAAGAGTGTAGATCGGAACATGTAGTTGATGAGAGAAGAAAGTGTTTGAAACTGAGAGTGTAACTGAGTTGACGTTGGTGTTTCTCTAGATTCGTGGAAGGACAAATAAATAGACACACGACACAAAAAAAATGAAATCACGCGTGTAAGAAGACAATAAATAGTAGTTTATGAAAGATGATGCCATCGGGGTGGTGGCGCAGTTGGCTAGCGCGTAGGTCTCATAGCTTCTGAGTAATCCTGAGGTCGAGAGTTCGAGCCTCTCTCACCCCAACACTTTTAACTTTTTGAAAAATTGTGTTTTTCTTTCTATTGTTTTCAATTATATAATCAATATTTCTTCCTCTGATAGGGACAAACACTACATTCAAAACTGAAGTCATCAAAGTTGGCTACATGCATCATCAATGTCCTTTAAATTTAATTTTATCAAGATATAAAGCATTTGTCAGAGATTTTTGAGAGCACCAAAAGTTTATTTAAATTATTATTTTTTTTCTATTAGATATTCTGGCTCGTTATCTATTATTTTTCATCGATTATTTTTAGACTTTTTATATTTTGAAAATTTTAAATTAGAAGTGTATTATTTGCATTTCATCTTGCAGATTAGTATATTATGTATTTGATGTTAGTCTATTATGTATTTGATGTTAGTATATTATGTATTTGATGTTAGTATATTATGTATTTGATGTTATGTATTTGATGTTAGTCTATTAGTTAATTAGTATATTATGTATTTGATGTTAGTATATTAGTTAATTAGTATATTATGTATTGATGTTAGTATATTATGTAAATGGATAAGTTAGTTAAATAAATGGATAAGTTAGTTAAATAAATGGATTAGTTACTTGTAGTTAGATTCATTAATTAAAATGTTAGAGATTTTAATTTTCAATATATTGATTACATACATTTTTAAAAAAAAAAATTATTTTTTTAAGGCTTTAAAAAGATTTTATGAACATTTGTTAGCATTTCTTTTTATTTTTTTATTTTGTCATGTGATTTTTCCGCTCTTGGGTTTCTTGTAATTGTGTCATTCGTGGTTTTTATAAACATGACCTTTATGGTTTATTAATTAATGCATCTATTTTTGGCCTCTTTATGAAGTTCCTTTGACCTGAGCCAACTTGAGATGTATAAGGTGATCAAGGATGGCCAACTAGTAGACGAGGAAGATGAAGCTCATCATCCACGATGATTCCTTCTTAGTGAGTGAAGACTTTCTCCAAGAATAATGAAGGGTCCCTTGCCCAATACGAGGGGTGAGTTAAGGAGGAGAGTCACTATTATTTTTTATTTTTTTGTCACGTAACTTTTCCCCTCTTGGGTTTCTTGTAATCATACCATTCATGGTTTTTGTAAACATGGCCTTTAGGGCTTATTATTAATGCATCTCTTTTTGGCCTCTTTATGAAGTTCATTTGACCTGAGTCAACTTGATATGTATAAGGTGATCAAGGATGGCCAACTAGTAGACGGGGAAGATGAAGCTCATCATCCACGATGATTCCTTCTTAGTGAGTGAAGACTTCCTCCAAGAATAATGAAGGGTCCCTTACCCAATACAATAGGTGAGTTAAGGAGGAGAGTCACTACTATTTTTATTTTATCATGTAATTTTCCCCCTATTGGGTTTCTTGTAATCGTGTCATTCATGATTTTTGTAAACATGACATTTAGAGCTTATTATTAACGCATCTCTTTTTGGCCTATTTATGAAGTTCCTTTGATGTTTGTATGGTGTATGAAATGAACATCTTATCGGGAGAGAGCATCTTCAATGAATGTCCAACGTGAAATTTCCTCTTTGGATGACAAGGATTATTTAGTGAAGGTACATCGTATATTGCCTCTTTGGGCAGCAAGGATCCTTCGATGAAGGTCCAGTGTGAGATTTCTTCTTTGAGAGACAAGGATCCTTCAATAAAGGTCCAGGGTAATATTTCCTCTTCGGACGACAATAACCTTTTAGTGAAGTTCAAACATAAGATTGCCAATTTGGGTGCCAAGGATCCTTCGGTAAAGGTCCAATGTAAGTTTGCCTCTTTGGAAGGCTATGATCCTCCAATGAAGGTCCAATGTAAGATTTCCTCTTTAGGTGGAAAGAATCCTTCAACGAAGGTCTAACGTAAGATTTTCTCTTTGGACAACAATGATCCTTCAGTGAAGATCCAATGTAAGATTGCCTCATTGGGCGCCCATGACCCTTCAATGAAGTTCCAAGGCAAAATTGCATTTTTGGGTAGCATGGATCCTCTAATGAAGGTTCAACGCAAGATTTCACTCACAACCTGCAAAAACCAAATACTCCTCACATAAAAAAAACCACATCTGTAGGGGAAAAGAGTGTTACTCCTTACATAAAAATCCATCATGGAAAAATGTCCATATAATTAGAGGGTAATAAGGTTTTGTCTTATTCATCAAAATATTAAAACAACTAATTAACATAATTCATCAGATTATTATGCATCAATATCTCTGGATGCCCATCGGTGTTGATACCTAATATATCACGCTCTTCGTGAATACGACAACCAATTCCTTCTCTATAGCAACAACTTCTTTCTTGGTTGTGGGAAGCTCATATGGCTCAACTTACATATCCTCGAGACCTTTAGTATGTGTCTTCTAATCCTCATTATGCTTCATTTTGATGCTCAGGTCCACAGAGTTTACTCCTTGCACGCCTGGTGACAGAGCATTAATTATATCCAATGTCGCCATTCTGACTCTAAGAATTCATGATAACTCCTTTGGACGGTCGTTGGTCTTGATGGATCACCCAATGTGTCTATCTAGTAGATAATACTTCATGCATAAATATAAGGTAGATAAGGCAGTGCCCAAGAGGTTGAAGGCGAGCCTACCTATTATTATATTATCTAAGAAAAAGAAGTTTATCATAAGGTACTTAACTTTAATCATCTTCACACTCCTTTTCAATCCAAACATTATCTTGAGAGTAATGTAACCAATCACTTGTACCTGCTCGTCTAAGAAGCCGACTATTGAACCTTGGAATGCTTGAATATCATCTAGACTCAACTCAAGCCTTTCGAACACACCCAAGTAGAGAATATCTGCAAAACTCCTACAATCAATCAAAATTGTCCCAATTTCCAATCATCACATTGTACCATTATGATCATGTTATCATTGTCGGGGGATGAATCCGGGTGACGTCCTTGTGGGAGA